TCTCTCTCTCTCTCTCTCTCTCTCTCTCTCTCTCTCTCTCTCTCTCTCTCTCTCTCTCTCTCTCTCTCTCTCTCTCTCTCTCTCTCGTGCTCAGTTTAACGTCCCCTTACTCGTGCGCAACTTTTCTCCATCCGGGCACAACAACTCTCCCGACAAAGGTGCGAGCTTCGCTGCCCGTGCAACTTCCCAATCGTGCTCACCTCGTTTCCAGCGCACATTTTGCTCCTTCGGATGTGGTTTCTCAGGGCGGGAGATAGAAGCAGTAGAGATCTCGTTAATCCATTCATGCGCGTCGCGGCACTCGACTAGCATATAAGAGCCTTAGTTGCTCCCACCGTTTTACCGCGCTAGATTGAATCGTGTCAACATCCATCAGGATCATTTTAGTCAATCAATCAATCAATCAATCAGTCAATCAATCAATCAATCAATCAATCAATCAATCCATTAATCAATCCACCCACCCACATACACATACATTTTATTTTATTTTTTTCCCAAAATCGCGTGCTTCCCCGGGGGCTTCTGACACGCGCAACCCGGTGGGGGGTGTGCGGTCAATTTACTCCCACCGTATGTCACGTGGCGGTATTGAACGCGTTTGAACGCATGCATGCGCGCTATGAACGCACGCGTTTGAACTTGAACACGCATCAAACACGTTGAAACGGTTACATAGCCGGAGACAAAGGCCATGTTTTCAAATTTGTTTTGGAGCGCAGCTAATTCGGCCTTCCTTGGCGTGGTCCTCCCCTTCTAGGAAGCTAGCAGCGAACTTTCTCTCCATCTCTTCTGCAACGTCCATGATTTGCTGCATGGTGTGATTGATGGGGGAGAACTGCTTTCGCAGTTTGGCCCTCATCGTACGACTTCGGAGCCCATCAATAAACAAATCTCTCCCGACATTTTCGCCCTGTTCTGACTTAACAAACAACCTATAGAACCTGCTTCGGTATTCAACGACGGATTCGAGGGGTTTCTGGACTTGATCCTTCAAGTTAATCATGAAGAAAGCTTGCTCAGGGTGGATGAAATCAAACTGGTTTAGGAAATCCCTTTCGAAGGTCGGGAGATCGACCCATACGTAAGTGGTAGACCAGTGGTGTGCATCCCCTCCCAATCTAGCGGGGATGTTGATCCTTGCTTCGTCATTGTCGTACTGTTGTGCGCGCAGCGTGGCTAGCCAGGCTCCGGGGAGGAGATGTGCAGGGTCAAAGAGGTATAGATCAGGCGGGGTCGTTCAAGTTGGTGCACGTGCTCGAGGGGCGGGGGCTCCTCCAGCATTTGGTGTTGGAGCCTGGATGGGCATTCATGCTGGCGGCCTGTCAGCCTGCCGATCTACTTCTGGTTATTATCGGGTGGCGGCGCGGCGCGTTCCTCTCCCTAGGACGCCCTCTGTTCGCTAGATCGTCCCTAATATCCTAACTGCTTGGCAATCTCTGGGCCTGCCACGTGTCGGATCCGATACTAACCTCACACCCAGCTGGATATAAGACTACTCGACACCGAAAACAAAAGCCGAGTTTAAGGCACTCATCAAGAGCGCTGTTCCTCAACAGGTTGCCCGAGAGCCATTTGAGTAATGGACTCACTACACCTCAGTAAATCTGTCGACTTCGCTCACGCCACACCCTTGCAACCCTAGTGGAAAAGGGTTCACCCATTTACCAGGAGGTTGAACCCCCAACAGTCTGCCCAAGATGGATTTGAGTGATGGACACGTGGACTGGAGTTGACTATAGTCCTGAAAGAAGTGCTTGGTCGACTTCTATCACACGAACCTCCCAGTCCTAGCAGATGGTGGGTCCAAACCCCAGTCAAGCACATACGAATGTGTAACAGTGTATGCCTGTTGTCATGTTCCTTATTTCCATTCCAATACATTACCTTTATGTATACTTAGCCTTTGCTTTGAGTGATGAAAAGAGAAAGGTGCAAAGCAGTGAAAAAAAAATCAAATTCGTTTTTGACTAATCTACCTGGGAATGTTTTACAATGTTCTGTCGAACAAATACAAGATAGCATGGTGTTGGTTGAAACAGGGTTGAAAACTGGATTCATTTATTTGAAACATGAACTGGAAGAAAAAAGGAATATTGGAGATAAATTCAATTTTGGAGTAGAAAATGTATATAAGTGTTTGGTGAACCAAAAACACAACTCCACAGAAAAAAGCATGCCGTGTACACCCGAGAGTGTGTGTGTGTTTGTGTGTGTGTGTGTGTGTGTGTGTGTGTGTGTGTGTGTGTGTGTGTG